CCTTGAAATGTAAAAAGCCGCCATTTTGACTCCAGTGCGTAAGTCTGTGACGTCATATACTTGTACTAGGCGTGACGTTGAAATTGAAACAATTGAAACTTACAACCACTCACAGAACTGATAGGTCATATTACATGGGTAAATACGCAAAAAAAAATATGACATGGGTATATTTACTGGATAACAAAGTACATTATGTGATAAATAAAGGTTCATATAGAACAACCGGCGAAGAGTTTATGTGTAACGTTTCGATGACTAGTCCGACATGTATCCTGTCACCTTCGATCAGAAAAATATTCGGCGAGAAACTATGAACCCCCTCATCTCGATTCAAAACTGACCCGCTGCACCGTATCCATATGCTCAAAGATTAACAAAGACAGCTACGTTATAAGGATATCCATGTACATATTACGTGAAAATATTACAAACATATATCAAATTGGTTGTATATTCGATAGGTTTTGCGATAATCCGGGAAATAATAGATCATCTGTTACCAGATGACCAGGAAAAAGCAGATTTTCTTCTGAACGCTAAAACACCCTTGAAGGCTAACTCCTATGTAGTTTTTGGGGGTGCAGACTAACTCCCTCGATAATTTCCGTACCTTTCTCGTAGAATTGACCGAGCTATCAATGGAAGCGGTAGGCAAAGCATGTAGCGACATACCTCAACAAGGAAATGATCTTCAGATAAAAACGCAGACGAGTTCGACAGAAAATTTGTGGTGGGAATATAACTCAATGGTATAACAAGACAGTCAAGAATGGGATTTGGGGATATAGAAGTTTCTAGTTCCCCGAGACCAGGTCTATTTCCCGAGGCGTAGTACAAATAATTGTTTTTCACGATCTGATTAAAACCTAATTCTAACTTACTACGATAATGTAGATACTATGATATTTGTTTCAATGGCTTATCCAGGATCAAGACTCATATTAACACGTCAAAATATCCATGCCTATAATTGAAACATTTCACGGTTAAACTATTCCCCCTAAAACAGTGATGTCAACTGTAACTTTACAAAGTACTGTACCCTTCAGGCTGATTGTGTTATCATTGCATACCCAACCGTGAAATCCCTAGCTGGGTACCGAAGGGTCCAGTCACGGGTGTTTCACGCCCCGCTACTCTTCCTATCTATATTACTGGTTTACGATATACCTGACAGAGTAATTACCCGTTTATCACTTTATTATCTTTACCTCCAGTACCGCCTTACAATTCTCCTGTCTACGTACAACTCGGACGTGGGTCAAACTCACAACGGGAGTTCACAGTGTACATGTGTACTGTGAAAATATCTCGCTAATATATAATTTCATCTTTTTATTTAATTTTCCTCCGATCTTCAGTATAATACAAATGCAAATTATATTCGATTAATTCGTGGAAAAATAATCGCAAAAGTCATACCAGAAAATCGAAACTTTAACAAATAAAATTCCCCTGTCATGATAGGTTCATATCACTGCAGTTTGAGAGAGGATCAGAATCGCTGCAGTCTAGAAGAAGCCATTTTCACGAAAACTGTACGCTAGCAAAGTGCAACCTGGAAAATGTCTGCTATTAGCACCGCAGAAACAGAAAACTGTACCAGGACACAATATAATAGGAAAACTGTACCACAACACCACCTAAAGTCACACGGACCTGATGATTTATTAGGATAGGTCCAAACATACATACTATAATAAATTATCTTGTCCCTGTGCATAGCATCAAGAAGTATGCATAACTGTATTCAAAGGCCATCGATACGATGAAAAAGCAACAAGGAATAAACGGTCATGAAAACTAAAATATGCGCATTAGCTGGTTTGTAACTGATCATGTTCATCTCAACTCTTAATTTAATTTACTACAGAAGGGAATCGCGGTGATTTGTTAGCGTTAGTCAGGTCTTCAGCAGATGCGTCAGACGTAATGGCCAGAGGTAGTACGACGCAGTAGGGACTCGATCGTTGGCTTGACCATGGCAATCGTGTCTATCTCCGCCATTGGTCAAACAGTAAAATCTATTTCCGGCTCTATAAAGATAAGGGGGCCATCTGATAATTATTTTACGGTACGTGCATTTGTTGTACTAAATAAATGGTGCGTACTGCGAATTGCAAAAGATAGATTATCCTACCATCAACACAGGGTCTATAAAAAATGCCGCCCGGATGTGTTTTTCGGAAGTTGTAATTTCCGGTGAAGATCGCGTCGATTACAGTTGTACTTCCCGAAGGTCAATCGGGCCCCATCTCTGTGACCTTCAAACAGAGGTTTGTTAGTTGTATGACACGTGTGGAATTTCACATACCGGTACTATCATTTTTCATGCGCAACGATGCGTCAATGTCTTTTGTAGATCTAAGTCAAGTAGTACGTACAGGAGTCATGGTCTAAAATATTTATCACCGGAGCAGATGAAGATTTGTCCATGTGGTACCAGACTATATGCAGACAGCAGTTGTCGTGGTTGTCTGTCTGTTCGTCCGTTGCTATGGTTCATGTAAAGGACACAAACAGCGTCAAACATTGTCAGACGACAAGCACGTGTTGATGTACACCGAAATACACACGTGGGCCTCTTTGTAGTTAGCAAAGGCGTTTCAAAAAGTACGGTATTTGTTGAATTGTGACATCATCAAGAAAATCCCATTGCACAACAACTGTGACTCATATACATAGTAGCAGAAGCATGGTGCGCCTTGGTAAAAAATTGAGCCATTGAAACTGATGAAACCGGAAGTATCACCCGAAATGACGGAATTTGGTTGACAGCCTGACGGGCCACTTGATATTTCCCGGGGTTGGGCTAACAAAAGGTGCCGAGAAGATTTATATCGCAGAAAGAGATGACTATCGGGCACATATGTTACAAAATTAACCTTAAAGTATCACGATATCTAATTATGGTTACGGGGTGGGAATATCAATAATTTCCGTGTTGTACCTATGTTCCCAGGGTTTGGACCTTAACTATTAATAATAATAAACTTTATTTGTTTTACAAAAGATATGAAACAATTTATTTCAACTTATATAAATCACTCTTGTTGGCCCGGATGTCTTAGTGTGGGAGGAAACCGGAGTACCCGGAGGATACTATTGCGACGATTGTGATACTAGATTTACTTTAAACTGTGTTTTTGATATACGTCAATATTTGTCGCTGTTTGTATAATTGATATGAAGACATGTTGGAGAACTACAGATGTAATGCCGAAACCTGGTGAACTTGACACGGAGGTTATATTCGTTAATTAACAAATGATGACAAGTATCAACAGTCAAGCATACGATGGTGTTTGTTAACGAACAATAGTTTAAAATACTACCATCGATACATCGTTGTTGAGGAAAAACAATATCGCCATTACATAAATTTCATTCTATTGGAACACTCTAAACGTGAACACTGATACAGCATGGGATATATTTCGGACGGGGTGGAGACAAACGAATGATGCCAAGGAGAATTGTTTGGTAGATGACCGTCATGCAGCATAAGAATAATAACTTGATATTCCCGGGGGTGAGGCAAACAATGATGGATGTATGGAAGTGGACCTTCATACAGCATGAGGATAACTGGATATTTCTGGGGTGGGGCAAGAAAATGATGTCATGAAATCTGTTAAATTGGACCTCCACAAGGGACGGGGCGAACGATCGTGTCAAGGAGATGGGTATGGTGGACATTCACATAGCATGGGGATAACTAGATATTTAAGGGGCGGGGCAAACAATTGATGCCAAGGGGACGGGTATATACAGCATGGAGATAACTAGATATTTAAGGGGCTGGGCAAACAAATGATGCCAAGGGGACGGGTATATACAGCATGGGGATAACTAGATAGTCAAGGGGCTGGGCAAACAAATGATGCCAAGGGGAAGGGTATATACAGCATGGGAATAGCTAGATATTCAAGGGGCGGGGTAATCAATTGATGCCAAGGGGACGGGTATAGTGGACATTCATACAGCAATAACCAGACCTTCTCGGGGAGGGAGCAAACAAACAAACGGCTACTGGGGATTCCCCGGGGCTGGGGTAAACAAAAGATGCAGACGAGATGGGTATCATGTAATCTCTTAACTCTATACGTTATGACTAAAACTTACAGTTAAGCAAGTGGCAGTTATTTTAATTAAAACGCACGTCGAATTGATTCTTTCTGGGTTTTTTGCAATGACAATTTACAAGACCAGACACGCGCAGCTCTGTACTGATACCATGAGCAATAAGCCAGCTTCAGCAGCCGTATACAACAATAACAACCATCACCACAGCAAGTAGGGAGATATACGTTGTAATGTTAACGTGTGACTTTTTGTTAGAGGGGATGATAGCTATACTAGATCTCGACGTGTGACCCTGATTTATGGAAAACCATTTGAAATATGTGCTGTGATTGATATCCGTGTCATACATACGGGGAGACACATATATATATATATAATAAACCTACCTACTGAATTGCAAATACATGTAGTATATAATGTGTATTTGCAATCTGTTGTATTTAAACTTATTATTGATGCAAATCTCGTGTCAGTCATAAATCACATGGTATCACAGATCGATAGGCCTATACGTTTATCTCATAGTCATAGCGTCGGAACACAGGGACCTGAGTCTTTGTTAAAACTATCTTTGGACCTAAACTAAAGTGTTCAAAGTAATTGTACACATTTTAGGGGTTTTAGATCAAACTTTCGGTATGATCATTGGGGGTTGCACTTTTACCAAAAGTTGGACTTCACCCCTAAAACGTATCAATTTATTCTGAGCACCTTAGTTTGGGTCCAAAGGTAGTTGTTAAAAATGTTCAGGTCCCTGTGCGTCAGATCATGTTCAAATTACCGTATGAATTTCTTTAACAGACCTCTTTGCTATCGAAATTAACCTTTGACTTCTTAATCAATCGTTCGCCCCGTTTAAGAAACAGATGACCAAGATTGCGTGTTTAACAAGATATAGACCCTGAACTTACCGGAATTCCAGCCCAGAAGGATGTTTCTCTGATCTTCAAGGATTGTGTAGAGAAGAAATACAGATAGAATGCCACCCCTGAAATTGTCGCCCCAATGAGCAACTGGAGGATGACGAGGAAAAGTTTCAATGTGCAGCATTCACGACAGAACCCGCGACTCGCCCGTCGGTCATGGCGGGGCTTTTTCCTGGGTTTGTGGCAGGAATTGAAGTCCTGGGGGATAAGACTTTGTGGAACAGTTGTATTGAGGCCACTTAACATGGACTGCTGCATGTAAAGTCGGAGTTCCGGGGTACTCCTGGCTTGTCTGTTGGACCATTTCTGTCCGGGCGCATACAGACTCAGGGATTTCAACGAGGATGCAGAGTGTGCCCTTTGTCGCCCGTTATCCATGGCGACCGAAGTTGCTGATGGCCAAAAATATTTCTTCATCTTTGGGATGTTCCTTGTTTTGTGCTTGAAACGTTTTGTCCAATAATCAATCTTCTTTAGAGGCCAATTGACACTTGTCAAAGCAATTGACACTGTTCTATTGACATTTAGGTGAATATGGGTTAGATACGTATTATTCTGTCTGAGATTCCAATAGTAAAATCAGTAATAAATTGGTAACATATAAAATGCCAGATAGGACAAGCTCTTTCCGACACGTTGAACAATAATACAAGGATTAAACACGATTAACAGGTATCTTTCAAGCCGGAGACGTGTGCGTCATTTGACACTTGTCTTTCTAAACAAGACTGCATCCAAAATAACATGTTAAGGTTAAACCCGGGATATGTAATTACACACCCTAATCCTCGAGAATTTACTTAAACACTTCCTTGTTAACACGCGTTGTCTTGTTAACACTTCTGTTTACACGAGTCCTTCTCTTAAGCACTGCCTTGTTGACAGGTGTCTTTCAGTTTAACACCTAGATGACACGTATCCGGTTAAACATTTCCTGTTTGAAACGTTAAACACTTTCCGTGTATCGTTTTCTAACGGTTAACAATTCCTGGTTGTTATGTAGTCACTTCCTTGCTGACACGTGTTTCAATCCTCAATGACACTTGTCTGAATGTAAAACACTTCCTCAATGACACGTGTCTGAATGTAAAACACTTCCTCAATGACACGTGTCTAAATGTAAAACACTTCCTTGATGACACGTGTTTCAATGCAAAACAACTCCCTTACGACACGTGTCGGAATGTAAAACACCGTTTCACAAGTTATTTCTGTATGTATCAATTAAAAAATAAACTTTAAAAACACTTTCCGTATTGACACGTCCTTACATTCTATCTTTCACAATCATTGACACATGTCAATCCTGCATAATCTGTTCCGTGTTGACGTTTGTCGCGCCAGATGTATACAACCACGAAGGACTACGTGCCCGAGATTCTTACCACCACCGGTACACACGCTCTCTGTTTAACTGTACGCCTGCTATCAAACCCGATGACTATAAGACATTGTGCTTATTACGTTTCACCAGTGCAAAGTTTTCTCCTACAGTACGTAATGTGACGAGGCGTAGATGCAATGTTTTGAGAAATCCGACATTCCTGGCTATTGTAATCATACAGCATCCGTGTCCGCCATGTGCCATTAGTTGCGGCTCCATGCGCAGTGACGTATACCTCCCTGTATTGTAGTATAAGTAATTAACGTTCCCGATAATGATATACAGAATATACTCGCCTTACTAAATACACTAATTACCATATCAGTCTTAGTTTATGTCAGTCTTTAATGTACACAGTGTTTAGTCCATATGGCAGTCATGTGGTCTAAGTTCCGCACACAATTACCGTACTTTATAGAACTCCATACAGATAGTCCTTTTATAAACGTGCACAACTTCCCCTGTTCACATGCATATGATAAAAGATAGACTTCCTGTGGTATTTAAGACTTCGGTAAGGGTACCCTAGTGTATCACAGGATACATTGAAGTGTCAATATTTCTACAGATCATGTCACGGTTTTCTTTTACCAAGAACAACTGGCACCGGACGATTTTAAACTTACCCTCTTCTTCAGTGAACAAGTTGTGAAATATATCCACGAATTCAATTGTGGCAGGTGTCAATTCCAAATGAAATAAATCCCTTTTTCACGATTAAATTTTAAATAATGTATTCCACAGTACTCATGTGTTTAATCACGCATAGCAATGTAATCGTGTGTCTTCCATTGTCAGTAGAAGGAGAAGAATGTCCATGACCGGGGGTCGCCGTGCGTTTATATACGTATGTATACGATGGTAATGCGTTTGAGCCAGCAGGTTGAAGAATGTATACTAAAGTTCTACACAGCTAAGTATAGTTATCCCTTCACCAGCCACAGGTCACCGATACATTTCCCGATAACACAATCTCACTTTCCCTGTAACTTCTCTCAAATAGTACCTCTGCTACCGCTTGTCCCTCCCACAGGCCACGAAATGGTACCAAAAATCTAAGGTAAACAAACAAACCGGACACCAGAATCCGGAAAACAAGCAAAGCTACTCACCACATCATACCTATGTAGCCGAGTGTGTGTGTTAGATTATATACATACAGTATACAGGTAGGATATACGGCACAGGCAGAATGTCACACCTGAAAATACCGGCGTCACACGATGAAAAGAAAAATATAATGATTTTTACGACAGCTTGACGGCGAAAGGTTTACTAAGGTATTACTTCAGGATTGAGGTGACCGCAAAATTGCCTGGTCCGTGTTATGACCTAAAGTGGTCAGCTCCCAGACTAAGCTGAGCTGTTCGAGGGCGGCGATGGAATGTCAAAGTTTCTTTTTAAAGTGTATATAAGCACTTCTTATAACTACACAAGCGTGTTACGTCCTTCTTCAACGAAGAGGCCTTGGAGAGTATTGGAGAACTAAACACTTTTGCCGTTCGAGAGCACTTCAGAACGAAGCACTCCAGTTGTCAAAGAGGGAATAAAACGATTGTCCCACATCCCCTACCAAGATAGCTACAACTGTATAATGTACAGGTACTGCCCAGTTTGGCGCTCATACTGGTCATTATTGTCACTTTGTCCGTAAAAAATTCGGCTGGACAGTCAGAATAATGCTTATAAACGACAACCTACCCTCTTTGATCTTTAGGACATTGCAGGCGTCTACTGAAGTACATGGTGGTGATTTATATAATGCCACGGGTGTCGAGGACGGTGGTAAACAGAGTCCTTGTATATTTCTATCACAAACTGAAATGTCTTGATTTCATTTATAATTTGAGTCACGACGATGACAAGGCGATGACTAAATAAAAATGTTTGATAAATGTATCACATGTATTAAGAATGAACATGTTTTTTCACGCCGATGAGCGTATTTTCATCGTGGGGTTGGTCATTGGAGAAAATTGTAATGCAAAGCAAGGGAGCAACATATGTTATCACTAAATCAATTATAAGTACTACATAATGGATGATCACTGAATCATCCGAAAGCAACAAAATGGATAATCACTTAATTAACCGCAACATAATGGAAAATCACTTAATTAACCGCAACATAATGTATAATCACTTAATTAACCGCAATATAATGGATAATCAATTAATTAACCGCAACATAATGGATAATCAATTAATTAACCGCAACATAATGTATAATCACTTAATTAACCGCAACATAATGTATAATCACTTAATTAACCACAACATAATGAATGATCATTGGATTAACGACAGTAATTAACAATGTGATGCTTTCAAACTTTCATTTAAATTTGAATAAAATTTGAATTTACTGATTTGTTTGTATTTTCCGTGCCATTTGAGTTGACGTTTTAAAACCAGTTCATCACACTTGAAGTCTTGCGAGAAAAATTGCAGATTTTTTATACTGAAATTTTGGTCTACAGATGTTTTATTTGGATAGGATAGTCTATAACATTGCCAGAATTATCAAAGTTTACACTGTTCCCCTATAATGACGTGATATCACATGGTAAACAAGATAACTGTTTCTTTTATACCCCGATACTCTCAGTAGATACTCTCAGTAGAGGTATGTCAACACAGCCTAAACTAATCCGGACCTACTCGGGTACACCATACGGTTGACGATTTATACGTACACTCACTATCTATCGACTGATTTGTTGTATGATTGACAAGGCATATCAACTCAAATAGGCCTTATATGGTGAGTGTTAGAAATCTAAAACGAAAATCTGGAGTGAAATGTACGTGATATCAGCACGACAGCTATGCTATTAAGAACTCCGTAAGGACAGACACATGAGTAGAGATAACTGCATGACTAGTCTGCTATTAGATAGACATTCATAAGGACATATGTAACAGGTGAGGAAAAATGCACTGCCAGACCGGGGTTTGAACCCGGTACCCTCCGAACTCTAGACGGACGCTCTAACAATTGAGCCATTTGGTAGCCGACGATCGACCTAGTCCGGTTCCGCTACATTCCTCCCTCCTTTTTCTAAGTCTTCGCCCCGAAGACACAGCTATTTACAACCCATGTTCGGGTATCCCCTTGTCAAGCATACACCATATGCTTGAAACAAGGGTTGGTCATAGGACCCACTGTAACAGGTGAGGGAAAATGCACTGCCAGACAGAGGTTCGAACCCGGGAACCTACAGCAAGTCTATTCTGCTATTAAGACCTCCATAAGGATAAGCACATTTGATTACAGCATTTCTTTTCTTCTGTTATAATCTCCATTGGAACAGACATGAGAGACATATAAAACAATTAGCTCCATCCTCGTCAATACCGATCCCTCAAGTTTGGCTCAAACCAACATTCCTACAACTCGCTTATATCATGCGACACATCCGAAAAGTTAAATATAAATATTGAAAACGGTAACCGGCTTTCAGTCTCACCAAAATTCTTCCAAAACATTGAGAAAATGTGGAGTGTTATTAATTTATCACCAGAACAGGAATTTGGACTTGAGTACAGAATTTGAGTTTGGTTATGAGAACGGTTTCATGAAAACGGACCCTGGCCTTATCACTTTACTTTCATAACCTTACTGAAAATAACCTTAATTTAAAGTTGTTACCAGACCAATATACATTGGGCGACAAGACCTTGTATTAGCTGTTTGTGTGTGATTATTTCTTACATTTTCTGCTTGGTTTTCATGATTTATTATCAAAAGCATGTGAAAGATGACAATGACAAATGACAATAGCACCGATTTTATTCTTGTATTCTGTTTACATCGTACAGAATCATCATAAAATCCCTATATATCTAAATTTTCTGACAAGGGTGAGTAACAAAGGGAGATAATTCGCTCTATGATGATCTAAGATGTATTTTACCCGTGAGACTAATTCATCAATAGTAACATAATTGGATAAAGTATTGAACTTAAAACTAATGTGGCTTTGAAATTAGTATCTGGATCTCAATCTGCTGCTTTGCTAAAGACTGTGAAGCCAAAAATCGCTTTTATTCCCATGACCCTCCACTCCGCACCCCCCACTCCCACCCCCACCCCCATTTTTTTTTACAAAAAATACAAACAAAAAAAATACAAATACAAAACCCCAGACTCTAGACCGATATTTTGGTCGCTAATTATTAAACAAAAACTCACATATATCTCCTAATTCATTCTGGTTACTTATCACGTCTTTTATCTTCAACAGTCGACCATGCAGTTAAATGCACAGCATGCTGTTGATTTGCAGTACATAAGCTAGCCTTGGAGGGAGCTCTAGCTTGTTACTTTGTAATTAGACACAGACACACATATCAAAAGCGATCTACATACAGTAAGTATGCGCATCTACCTAGGGGCGGTCACATTGTGACGGTAAAACTATAGTTTGTGTGTGTGTAGTATAATATGCCTATACTACATGCAAAATAAAACATAAATGAATTGCTGTATGAGAGATACCTCTCGGGCACTCTCATCTATCCTCGGACTTTGATGTAAATATTTACGTGTAATTATACAGGTGCCACTGTTTGCCGCTGAGCCTACTTTTTTTAGTCCACCCAGACACATGATCATGCCGTGACCCTGTGGCCACGTGCACAATATCACACCTAAAAACGTGGTCATAATTCAAAACACGTTTCCTGCAAAGCTAAATGTAACACATTCATGTGAATATTACAAACTGAGACTAAGCACAGGCACTTGACTCTAGCTATAAATAATAAAAGTAAAATCCCAGGCTCGTTTCGCAAAGAGACGTATAATATATTTTCTATACGTCTCTGGCCACATATGATTATTGTCAGAGACTGTAAAAAGTAAAAAAAAAAAAAATTACCCATGGCCGATTGTGTTTCTGTGTTAGTATTGTCCCAGTGACAATACTACATATTGATAATATCAAAAACATATAATTTAATTGAGAAATCGGAAATGAAAACGTGCATTTAAGGACTCACACAACTAAATCAGCCAATCAGCAAGTGTTTCATACGTTTGTAGTTCCTATTTGAAATAAGTTCCGGCTAATTACTGGGCCACTGAAGGAGTTTAATAAGGAACTGATGACAGATTTTTAGATAAATGAAATGTTCAGGTATTTAACTTTTGAAAAATATATACTTTTGATATATTTCCATGTCTGTGTGCGGATTTGCACAGGGGCAAAATGTCTGGGGGCGTTTCTGTTTTGGGTCACCGGTTTTGCTTGTAAACTTCCGGTTGTCAACTTCTTGGCGCTGTGACACTCCAATATGCCACTAAACCTACCAAAAAAGTCATTTTGTAGCCTTTGCAAGGTATGTATTTATGAATCTAGACAGTTGTCACTAGTTTTGAACTTCAAATATTAAAGTTATTAGCTAAAATGTTTGGTAATAATATATAGTAAATGATTTAGTTGTGTGAGTCCTTAATATAACTGAGATGATGGGGATTCCGTTTAACTGTATAAAATGCTAGCTATTTCATTGGTCGATGAAGACACGTGTGTATAGTTTCTATTTATATATATTCTATTTCTGTACATGCCGTCACAAGAAACACCCCGACATTGCACAACAAACGGAAAGCCCGGCTATATAAACGTGGGGCGTTCCCGAATTGTCACAGAAACGTTACCATCAGGATTGTTAGGGGTTAGACGAGCAGGAGGCAAGAAGGGACCGAACAGACCCGGTTAGGGTACCAAAAAGGCCGACCTTAGAGACATTTTCAGGTAAATAAACAAACCGCCCGTCACCTGATCACGACATCACGAGACATGTATTTACTTGTAAAGGTACTGTTTTATTCTGACTGTCTTAGACTGTCAGGTTTATCGTGGTCATTATAACACACATTATCGGTCAGTTTTTCCTCCTGTTTGTGGATTACTGGAGGTGGGGAACAATAAATGTTCGTACAGTCGTAGTAACTAATGTAAACCCAATAGACATGTATGTTAAGGTCGTAAGAGTTATCTCTCTTGACACTGCATATCCAAGGTCTTGTACTCGTTTGAATCTATTCAAAGTACCCGTTATACAGATATGATTGAATCCGATATACTTATTACATATGAAAGTATTCAACGCGTCACAGGTACCTTTCGCAATGAGAAAACAAATCAAAACGCACTAATATAGATTTTTTTATTATCTTTACTGTCAATATTCAACTTACGCTTGACTTTTGCCTATACACATCCTCCTCTCTCTACAGAGAGCGAAGGTGAGCGTAACCCCTGGATATCGAGGATGGCCTATACATAAAACATTCACTTGAACAGAGGAGAGTGCGGCTGGCTTCTGTTAAAGTTTAAACCTAAATTTGAAGTTTCTTTATATGTTTGTTTATTTGTTTTTGCCTAACATTAAAATCAAAACTGAATTGAATATATTTAAGTCAGTGCGTTAATTTTCTCATTGTTATAGTTAAAGTTCATTAAAGATGTATGCATCAAAAATAAATAATAGAACATCACAGTGTACCTGTGTATGCACACCGTAGTACATACATACGAAAATGAATTAAGAGAACCAGAGACGTATATAACGTTATATACGTCTCTGAGAGAACATACTATTTATAACGATACCCCTGTTTATGTTAGGACTATTCGTTTTTAATATTTAACATATTTACAGGTGATCCTGGATTATAATTCCGTTGAGTGTTGTTTGGAAACATACAAGAGAATGGCGGCCACCGAAAGTGTTGAGACCTCCCAGACATCGGAGGTAAACGTTGATGTCCAGCTGTCCGAAATCGACACGGTAAAACAGAGCTTCGTTGGGCAGTGTCGCGTGCTGACCAATGTAGGTGACCACAGGCATATTGTGACTCTGGTCCCAAAGGACAAGGAGCTGGTCATCAAATTCCAACTGACAGGTCAGCTTCATATTAGTATTCATGCAAACACTGACTATATACCATATACGGAACGTACCTTATTAATCCCATACTTCGAGACTATTAAAATCATACTAAATTTAGGTCACGTTCCTAGTTTGTACACTAGATACAATTGTATAAAAATATGTTTTTATGAAGGATTGATTTTTTGTTAAATTAGTTTGTACCTTAACCCTGTTAATATAATAAATATGTAATAATAAGTTTGGTGCGTTTGAAAGAATCAAACCTTCCGGAAAATTCATAACGAAAATAAAGTCAGCGACTCCTCAAAAACAATTTTTGATTACCTCCCTTTATATACAATATGAAAGTACAATATACCTACATTTACATGCGCTGTAATCTCAGGAAACGGCTGATATGTGTATCTCATTCAACTATTTATTAAAAGACCCTGTTCTATATTTTTCAGCAAGCTATCCTAAAGATGCACCAGGGATTTTGATCAAATCCGCTCTTCTGAAGGAGGAAGAGATAGCCAACCTACAGAGTCACCTTCAGGAGATGGCGGAACAGCTGAAGGGGGCGGGGATTATGCTGGCTCTTGCTGCTGAGGCCGAGACTTGGCTGAGGGGCCAAGAGATCGTTTTGAAAGAGAGGAGTCAAGAAAACCAAGCAAAGAAATCAAACAAATATGACAATAAAGCAAAAGGGGACAAGCAAAAACGGAAGAAACGAAAGGAACAAATAGAGGAAAATGAAACAGAAAATGTGAAGAAAGCAGCGATGAAAACAGCTGAAGATGTGATTAAACGCATACAATGGGACGGACAGCTGCCACAGGACGAGTTCATTGTAGGGTACATCGATAGGTTCAAAGGAATTCAGGAAAAATACTTCACTTCCTTCAGCTGGGAAGACATTGCCACCGTGGACTACACTGTACTAGCTATCCCTAAACACAGGATTCAGTATTTCAAATACCGGGACATAATAATCTGGGATAAGAATGCAAGACTGGACAATGTCTTTGGATCGTTGGGAAGTAAACTTACAGTGTATGATGTCATTGAACAGTGTAGAAAAGAGGATGAGAAAAAAGAGATGGAAAGAATGGAAGATGAGAATGAAGATGAAGAAAATGGTGATGACGATGATGACAATGACAGTGACAGTGATGATGGTATTACTGTTTCTCTTGGCGCCACTTCACAGCCAGCCGTTGGCTCCAATTTTGACGAAGAGCCTATGTCGGATGATGATGGAGGAATTGACAAATATTGGCGGGACAAAATGAGACCAAATCACTTTTTAGCATTGAGAATTTCGAGTGAAGATATCAGAAATACCGCGGAGGATATCCAGAATATCATCTTAGAACACGAACCACAGTACAGCGAGTGTTGTATCCCACCGAGGGCCCTCCACATCACGCTGTGTACCCTCGGGCTGGACACGCTGGAACAGGTCGCAAATGCTGTACGAGCATTAAACAAGATCAAACCCGAGCTTGAGACATTAGTCCCAAAAGATAAACCCATTGTTATGAAGGGTGTCGAACAATTCTTCAATCGCGTCCTTTACGCAAAGGTGGAATGTCCGCCAGAATTCTACCAGTTCGTTGAACATTTAAAGCTATGTTTGAAAGAAGAAGGTATCGAGATTCGTGATAACCATGACTTTGTTCCTCACATGACAGTGATGAAAATCACCCGTCCTGTTGCCAGGGCAACTGGTAAAAAGTACATATCGCCTTGGCTTTACTCCAGTCAAGCTGAAGTGGACTTCGGGACACAGGCAGTGGACAATATCCATCTGTGTGAAATGGGATTTGGTCGTCAGGACGACGGTTTCTACCTGTCACCATTATCAATTGATTGGTGAAGGATTTTTGTTTCAACTGATAATTGAATTAGGGCCAAAATGAACCATGTCTTACATAGGTGTACAATATTGGCAACGAAAATAAATGGAAAAGATAAGAGAATAAATCATTTAATTTGGTATCATTGATTAAGACGCTAAAGGTAACTCTTAAAATTTTATTTATATTCCGATCAGAGAAAGGTACATCACAACATGTTTGTGGAAAGATGTTTATTTTCAGTAAGAGAACAAGTTTCTGTGATATGTAAAGAATGTGTATACAATGTTACAGTACTATTGTTATACTATTTAAGTTGATTAAAAAGTTTGGTTTTGTATATAACTTCTCATGCTTCCTTTTTTAAACAAACATCAAACTACCTATAAAATCAGATACGGGTCGTTTATAAATACAAATTATTTGTTTGTTTACATGTTTTACATTGTTTGCACTAAGGTAAACAAGTGGCCTACTACCTTAACGCTCCCATGAATTTTATTGGCTTTAACGCTTTACGCTACCGGAACAGATGCACGAAATTTTAAGTCAACCACTGTAAATATTCTGTGGAAGTAGTCCGAAATGTCTCGAAAATTCTTAGACCAGGACGTCCATCAAGAAATTTCACTTCTAAACTATATTTGTTTTACACAAGTTATTTCAACTTATGTTATTCACTCTTGTTAGCGCGCGGGGGATCTTAATGTGGGAGTAAACCGGAGTACCGAGAGAAAACCCACGTGGTCGGGCAGGGCAGGTGAACCTATACCTTTTCACGTCCGATCGGGGAATCGACCCCCGGCCGTCTTGGTAAAAAGCAAGTGCGCAATCTACTGCGCCACCCGACCAATTATTTTCACTCAGGCTTGACCTCATAAGGAGCTCATGTGAAGTCGAAAATGTCTCCGCTAATCATACATGTACATAGAGTCGATCGCTGCAGCCATTTAGAGTCCATACCGTCCATTCAACGTAACTCTTACCGTGATCTCGTAGAATATGTTTGCGAATTTTGGAGTCAATCCCTGCACCCGTTTTTGAGAAGATGTTGAAAATGTTTCGAACGATCTGACGTCATGGCGACAATCTTGAATAGTTAGAACGAGCATTTATACCATGAAGTACATCGCTGCAGCTGCTATTACTGCTATTAAGAAGAAGACGAAATTATCTCGGCTAATCGGAAAGCAGGTTGGTACCCACTAAGAGACTTGGTTAGAACATCATAAGGAACAAGATGAAAGCAAACTATAATTATAAGAAGACGGACTAAAACGGGTAACAATAGTTTGCGTTTATTAGTCATTTGATCTAAAAAAAATAAAATGCTCCAGCGGCATCTTTCCAACTGTTTAGTTTTTTACTACCTTAATCAAACGAATATCCCCACTAACAACGTAAAACCCACAGGTGATCGCCCCCTTAAAAGAATTGGTAATAGATACAATGAATTACGATGCATCATACATTATTAAATAGTAAACGAAATACAATCGAGACATTTTCCAAAAGCCAAAAGACCACAGCGAAAGAAAGAAAGATAGTTATTTCGTCCTCCTGTGACTCGTGCACCGGTAATACTAGGGCCAAAAGTGAGGGTGCTTAAATTTATGAATTTCAAAATTAAGAGAAGTACTGATTAGTTTAAAAAAAAATCAAATCAATAAAGTGTGTATATTATGAACCGTGCCTCTATACTAATTAGCAATAAGAAGATTAATCGCTACAAAACTCCAAGACACAAGATCACTTCGATTTTTGAAAGATAAGTCGTCTGTAAGTAATTTATCGAACATCGACAGATAAGGTCAAATCAAGTCAAGTCAATTTTGTTTATCATAGTGTCGTGTAACACAATTACATCGTACAAGTATATAGTTACACAGTATAAAACATATAGTTACATAGCAGAGATCAATCATCTTAAATATATAGACGTAATATCATAATTTTGTTAAGAACAGCTATAATTCGTAATATGTTAATAAATTCAAACAAAATATCACATGTTCCAATCCAGAGAGCAGGTGATTGGATAAGGCTAGCTACATTATTTAGCAAGTTGTAAAAAAGAAAATATATAACACAAACATTTTGATAAACTTGTTAAGTGACGCATTTGATTGAAGAAATAAGTCATGGGCTCAGGAAATGACATTGATCGCTCCGAGCAATAGAGTTTGCCTGCATTTCACTCGGACACACGGAAACTGTCGGGAGACACCGACTGCTCGGGCTTTGAGTCGGGACCAACCTTAGGGGAATGAAAACAACTTCTCATGCGTGAAACAAAACGCATAGGGAACATTAAAGAAAAGATCGAAAATGAAAATCACGCCAAATTCTACTCGCCAGGAAATGCTTGAGGAGCGTAAAGAACACCTCCTAGAGAAAAGATTGCATTCCTGCAAGTAAACAGCTGGAGAAAGGCGGGGACCTAATGGAGAACATCAATATTTCCCCTGTTATATGTATGAGTCAATACGGCCCTAAACATGCATATGGAAGATAAGAAAGTGTGGCACTAACAAGGTCTTTGGTGTTCAGTTGAAATGTTAATCTGAGCAAACACTAAATCAGGACAATTTAATGTTATAACATTTAAACGAAATTCGTCCTCTGTGTAAAGCTTAATAAAGTGAAGGGGTTAAATCAATGAACGAAACGCATGTTTCAATAGCAGTTTCAAGTTGCAGATGAACTGCAATCTGAGGCCGTTTCTACGCAAATTAGGTCTGTTTCTTTAAAAACCATTACTTTCGCTCTCTGCACCCCTGGAATAGGTCATAGAAAAAGTGAAGGCTCAATGTGCGCCATCTTGTGGACGAGACAAAATAATTAGTTGAGATCCTATGATGTACATCAAAAGAATCTTGCAGTTGCGTAACGGTAAAATTGACTGACTTTGAAGGCTGGTGTCGCTCTTCTGTAATCTTCGAAAGCCATGTATCAGCCTAGCGATTGGTCAGGTTTTTTTTACTCGAGACCAATCAAATAGCTTACTGTATGTATTTAATTTTGCTATGACATATTCCAGGGTGCAGAGAGTGAAAGTGAGCGTAACCCCTGGAGTACCGAGGGTGATGATTGGTCGAAAGTCGAGTGCTCTCTTTGGTCTCCGCCAGTTTCCGCATTGCTCACCTCCTGATCTGTTTAGCTATGTCTACTGTCTTCAAAATCTTCCAGGCTTTACCATTGGTCCTTGCATAATTCAACTGACCATATTTTGATCATTCACATTGTCTTGACGTTCCTCCCGGGTTACTGACAGTCGGTCCTTATATGACCATTCCGGACATACGCGATATTTGAACTTACGTCCAAAACACATATTCGTCCTACAGATATCCATATTCTCTGGTTATGGAAGTAAATGTATCGCGACCACAGTAGAAACTCGCCAGAATGTCATTTTTATTCGCAAACTCTTTTGGCTCCATTCAAGGATATTCAAGGAAATTACCATCCCAACACCATGACTTTAGGCTTTTCAGTTCTTCAGAAGAAGTTCTTTAAAGTTTTGGACATAGTTGACCCCTGTGACCTTGAATATGGGTCAAATTCATTTATATTTGAACTCTTTGTAGGTCTATATTCCTGGAAGCTAATAGCCTGATACCATGACTCTAGGCCTTTCGCTTCTTCATAAGAAGTCATTTGAAGTTTTGACATATTTGACCTCTGTGATCTGAAAGTTTTGTTAGGCTCTTTCCCAGTAAGCAACCGTCCTGATATTATGACTTTTCGTTTCTTCAGAAGAAGTCGTTTACATTTTTTTTTTACATATTTGAGTCAAGCCCTCGGTGACCTTGAATGTAGGTTTATGTAATTTGTATTCACAATTTTGTTCGGCTTTTTCCAAGTGATCTACCAGCCAAATATCATGACTTTAGGTCTTTCCGTTCATTTGAAGAATCTTTTAAAGTAAAAGTTAACGGACGGCGGATAGACGAATGAGAGACACCGCGCCAGGGCATAATAACATTTGTGTGCCAGTTAGTGTGAGTGTTCTTGATGATGAGGATGATGTGTACGAGTCAGTGTGAGTGTGTCCTTGTGAGTGTCTTTGTCTTATCTGTAAATGCCATAAGTTGTAAAACTTCGGCAAATAAAGAACTTGAACTTGAACTCATCTGCCTTTTGGGCACGAGGGCTTAATTAATAATGAAACAAGTTCATAATAATTACTGTTGTTTACCGGATGGAAGCTCGCAGACGGCCTTGATGTGGGGAGAAACCGGGTTACCTGCATGGAGAAAACCTAAGTGATCCGACAGGTGACCTATATTATTACATGACCGATCGGAGAATCGAACCCCGGCTCCATCAACTGCGCCGCACAAGCTTCCGACAATGCCATGATACGTTCTTATGATAACGGTGAGAGGCTCACTTACGGGGTTGCATTATTGCGCATATAACAAATGTTTAAAAAAAGACGTATATTAACTCATACAGAGAGAAGTTCGAATGTCGGTCTTGCTCGTTCCGATGTTCCACGTCGAATTATATCTCCCTTGTCTGTAATCTCTTGCATGCTAACAATAGAACCAGCCAGTCGCGCCAGATATATTTACTGCAATTACCGCATTTTAAATAACAGTCTTTAAGGTATTGCTGTAAAAAAATGAAGGTAATTATATTGATACAAACACTTAGCTTGAAACGTATTGCATTTACTGTGCCATACCACAGACAGGGACCCGAGAAACAAATATAGAATATATGTTTAGAACTATCCTGATGTATAATATTAGACGTTTCAAATATTACTCCCTATACATAGCAGAAAAGGTCTAAAACAGATATCCTGGGTTTTCTTCGGGTCCCTGTGTGAAATTATAAATCTACTTTCTATAAATCAACATAACAATTCATTAACTGACTTAAATCGAACTTATAATGCTCTGTAAAAAGTTCGGTGATTTTCGCTGTACATTATAGATTTCACGGTAGGTAATCTCGCCATTGATACGGAAGTAGTATTAAGTAGTTACGCCATTTTAATGAGATTATACCTACTTATTTTTAAGTCATGTTCTTTGTCCAGGTTCGGAGTTAGCAGGAAGAATGTACTTACAATTTATATATATATATATATATATATATTAAAGATGGTTGTCCTATAATGATCACACGTCGTTACCGTTAGTATGGGCGTAGCATAGAGGGATTGTAGTAACACAATATTGAAATGCATGAGCTAAATAATTGTCTTTTAAATCACCCGATGGGATCAAATAATAAACACGCTGAGTATAAATAAAAACAAGAGCTGTTGGAGAAGAGCATAGCTCGCCTATTGGTGATATGTGTTGTAAGACAGCAAATATCAAT